TCTCTCTCTCTCTCTCTCTCTCTCTCTCTCTCTCTCTCTCTCTCTCTCTCTCTCTCTCTCTCTCTCTCTCTCTCTCTCTCTCTCTCTCTGGGTCTGTGTGTGTGTGTGTGTGTGACGTTCGAGTGTGAGCACACCTGCTGGGGCCAAAAAGATAACGAAGTATGCCTGCGCTGGGCAAGGGCAAAGGAAACTCTGACCAGTGACCAAGGCTCGCAGCGATACTGACCTGCAAATTGTTCGTTGGACTTGGGTATAGTGGCAAAAGCTGCAAAAGGCTAATCAAACTGTATATGTGTGTGTGTGTGTGTGTGTGTGTGTGTGTGTGTGTGTGTGTGTGAGAGAGAGAGAGAGAGAGAGAGAGAGAGAGAGAGATTTTGAAGTTGATGAGAGGAAGAGGGTATCAGATTCTATGACAACTGCAAACCCACCCACATGAAAGCAAATTGGAAGCCAATTCAATGTCCAAATCAAAACTGTTACAGTGAACAAGGGACATATTAATTGAGGTGGCTTGCTTTCTATTCTATGGTGTGTTAAAGTACTTACTGGAAGAGTGAATCTTTTGCCATATCCCGCTTGTTGTAGCTCGTTTTCCCTTGCCCGCACTCGATTTGGTAGTCTTTATCAGGTACAAGGCGATTAACGTCAAGCTCCCACAGGCGGGCAGCTGCAAGGGAGATGTCATTCAGCTCTTCCCGCGTGGGCTCCATCTGCGCTGGAGTGACCTTCGCATAAAGCGCTCTGACCATCTCACGAGGGGAAGGGGCACCCGCACACCTTCCTCCTCGACCACTGCTTGGTCGCCCCACCGGTTTTCCCTCTGCCTCTGTGCTTCCCTTGCCAGCAATGGCAGCCCAGGACCCTCCCCCTCCCCCTCCCCCTCCTCCTGCTGCAGCCTTCCCTGGTGAGTGGGCGTCATGGACCTTGACCTGCTCACCTTTTCCATTCTGGACGCCTTTTGGAGGTAAGGGCTTAGACCAGGCACTATGCGGAGGAGAGGAGACCACCTCCTCATGCCGTGGCGAGCTATGGTGCTGCTCGCTTGGGCTCCTCGGGCTCTCCTTACTCCCATGGCAACGACCTTCCGGATGGTCCCGTCCCTGACGATAACCATCCGGATGGTCACGTCCCTGACTAGGACGACCACCGTCGTCACTACCAACTGTGGCATGTGCTGCGACACTTGTCAGAGGTTTGCCCCATGCATTGTTTGAAGCAGAAGGCGATGGCTGGCCTGAGTGTGCCTCCTCGCCTTGTGCGTGTGTCCGCCGTCCTCCACCCGACCAACGTCCTCCTACCTTTCCCTCACCCACTGGCGAGTGATGACGCTCCCTGTGCCTGTCATCAACATCTTCTGTCTTGGATGCACTGACCTTCCTGGGCACTGGCGAGTGAGGTGAGTGTGATACCGAGAGTGACGGCCAGTCGCCATTGTCACCATGGGAAGAATCAGAAGCCTTATAATTCCATGCCATTGCCGGATGTCTTCCGTCTGCTGCTCTTCTCCTCCCCCTTGAAGTTCTTCCCTTCCTATGCTTTGTTCCCTCCCCCCCTCCTCCTCTCTTCCTCTGCTTTGTTCCCTCTCCTCCTGCTCCCCCTCCGCTTATAAGATTACTGGAGTGAGAGATGACACACGAAAACAAAGGCCAAAGGGAACAAATCGAGTCAGATATGGAAGATCAGCCAAGACAGCATCAAGACTCTTTTGCTTGCGCAAGTGAACGTTGTCCGATAGGGTAGTCATGTGCATACATCTGCCAGAAGAACACTTCTGAAATACTGCATGTGTTTTTGCCTCTCTGTTGGCCCAACTTCAAGTTCCTTTCCGTGTACTATGTGTGTGTGAATCTGTGTGTGGGTGTGAGTGAATGTGTGTGAAGTGTGTGTGTGCACAAGGCGCATCATTGCTATGCGACCCCGCAACATCTCCAAAGTATTATATTGGCAATTGGTACACCACCTTAGGAACGAAAACTTGCAGCGGAGTCAGGTCGATGCTTTGAGTCAATAACCAAGCTTTGAAGTTTGTTCCCGATTGGCAAACACAGGAAGACGAGCAGCACGCCATGAACAGGGCAACTTATACCACCAGTACACCTGGGCCTGCCGGTGCTGCAGTGCGCGCCATACTTTTCCGAACCGCCAGCGGCGCACTTCTTTTCTTTTTTGGCTGGTGCCGCTACCCATTGTGGTCTGTGACAGGATTGTTGCGTCCCTGCCGACCGCCCACTGTTTTGCAGCCGACCAGTAGGGCCGACCGGTCAGCGGTCTGCCGACCAGTCAGAAAAGTAGCCATCCTCTGACTTTTTGACAAATCTGAGTTGGGGGATGTACTGCGCTTGCTGAGTACAGCCGAAATCCGCCGAGAAACTTTTGGGGATGGGGGGGTTGGGGGAGGGGGGGGGGATTGGAGCCTGTCTCTTATACACATCTAGATGTGTATAAGAGACAGGTCTACATGAGGTGACTGGTTGCAAGAAGGAGGAAGACCGGGATCTGTGGAAGATTGGGTTGGGGTACTCACCTGATGTTGACGTCGTCACTATAATCTGCTGTGTCTTCATGGTCTTCATGAGATAAGAGTGCCATGTGGCACTACTGTGTGATCAGAATTAACTTGTTATCAGTCAGATACTGATTGCTGTCGTGGAGAGGGAAGAAGCCTGGAGAAGGAGTGGGACTTTGATGGGATTACTCTTGTGTGATCTTTGATCTCNGGGGGTATTGGGGGTGTTGGTGGGGTTATTAGGGGTTCTGGGCCCAAAGGTTTTTCTTTTTTATGCGGGGTGCCGACGACCCCTGACCAATAGGTGCCGACCAGTCAAGGGCCGATAACCGTCGGGGTATGCAACCCTGGTCTGTGAGCCCCAACCCCCGAACAGTTCAGAGCTCGCAACTCGTGATTTTCTGCAAGGCTGGGGCGATGTACTGGCCTGTTTATAGCACGGCATAGCAGGCAGGCAGCAACTTGAAGACTTACTATGCCTTACTCTGTGGGCAGGCGAGCAGAAGGGCGGCACACAAGAACACAACGATAGTAAGGCACTCAACACGATAGCACTAGGCGGCAAATAGTAACCCAAGGGGGCGGGCGGGCAGGCGGGTGGGTGGGTGGGTGAGACACCAACAAAGCAAGGAAACACACAGACTCAGGCATCCCAGACACCGGACTGCTCCAGGGACTCCAGACAAATAGGCAGGCATCGGCTCTTTGGCACAACTTAGGGTTACTCGACTTCGACACAAAAATACGGGAGAAGGCATACACAGCAGATAGACAACAATGCAGGGAAAATGCGTAGAAGGAAAGGAGAACAACCATAGCCCAGAGTAAAATACATAGAAGGAAAACACGTATAGACAATAGTAATATGATTGTGTCAATCTGTGTGTGTGTGTGTGTGTGTGCAAAGTGTGGAGAGAGAGAGAGAGAGAGAGAGAGAGAGAGAGAGAGAGAGGGGTGCCCCGGCGACATGTAGACAGAAAGGGGGGAAAAGACAAAAATGGGGGACTGTGAGAGGCGAGAGAGAAAAATTGTGAATTAGCACCGAGGTGATTGGCTTGGCTATTCGATGGGTGAAGACCCTCCTCCGAAGCCCACAAGCCCCATGCCGAGCTTTGGCACTGGAACAAATCACACGACTGCCCCCTATCGTCCCGGCCGGTACAGATCCTACAATGTGGATTGAGGACCGTTACTGGCCCATCCCACGGTACTCCACCCGGGCCCAGTGCACAGATCGACAGGTGGCGAGAAGGGACTTGAGGAACTACCCCTTTTGGGTCAACCTGTTGAGAACATGGCGCAAACTCTCCCCCTCCCAGACAACCCCCCCCCCCATGAGGTGGGAAGAGGTTTATAGACAGCCACTGCTTGGCAAAAGATGGCTCACCAACCCCGAGGGATTGTCTTCCTCTGCACACAGAACCCGTGGCAAGGGTGGGCCAAAAATGGGTTGCTGAGAATAGGAGATATCTGGGATCAGGATCAGAAGGATTGTGTCACGACAACTCATCTAAGAATGAAATTGAAGTACTGCCACAATCCCGGAGACGCACTTGAAACAATTACAGCTCCCGTCCCTTTGGACTGGATCCGTATACTGCGAAAGGGACCACATCTCAGAGAGGGGGACTGGGTTACTCTCCGGGAGCATAGGGATAGGGTGGGCAACATGATAGACATACACCCTGATGGGGAAATTCTGGTCAACTGTTTTAAGCTGCAAAATAACCATCATCTGATCAGAATTCGCCCGTCAGAGGACCGATGGCTTTCGCCATCTGCTGTTTTCAGAATAAGGGTTCTGAGAGAAGGAGAAAAATGGATCGCCAACCAACCGCACATTCCAATTTCCCGCCTGGCCTGTGATCCGGAGACATTAGTTTGGACAACACCCAACCCACGGAGAACCACCCACCAAAAGCACCTACATTCCCAGACGGTTAAAACTACCTACCGGCTGTTGAGGCCAGAACTCCACCTAAGGGACAAAGTGGAGTCTTGGTGGATGAGACAGCAAAGGAGTCCCTGAAAGGAATACGCTGGTTTAAGCATAACTGGATCGAACCTGCTAAGCTGGCGTCGTTGCAAAGGCAGATTGAACACAGGTGCCTGCCAACAAATGATTGGCTGATAGACCACACCCATCTTGAACAGAAGGGGCTTGCTCTTCCGTGGTGCAAGCTCTGCAGTACACCCGAAGACCATAGAACACATTTTTCTTCAATGCCCAGGCTCGGTATGGCTCTGGAGGTGGTGGGACAGGATCTGGCGTTAGCTAGGCAACTCCATACAGTGGCCCTGGGACTGGAAAGCGTTGCTTTGTGAAACATGGAGTCCGGATCAGCTGAGCGACTACGAACTTAAAAATCAGGATGGTCCGAAGTTTAGGCAACATATTCAGACAGAGATAACAATACAATGGGATCTCACAAAAGAAAAGCTGACATTTGTTGACTCCAAAAAGGAGATCCAAACAACTATCCGAAACTTTAGCAAAGACTGGCTGTGGGGGGAACAAGGGGGCAGAATGGCGACAGTGGTCTGGAATGGGGGGAAAGGGGAGGAACTGGGTAGTGGGGAGGAGCAGGAAACGCTGGTTAGAGATTATACCCTCTCCTTCAATGATTGGATTCTCTCAGACCCATCTGTCCCCCTAAGGCCCCTCTCAGTTTTCCCAGATCTCTTCCCTCCCTCGGATCTTTCTATAGTGGGATTGTCATGGTACGGAGGGGGAGAGGAGTGAGAGAAAAGGAGGGGTGCTGCGTGTGTATTGAATGGAAGATCTGGCATCGCCTCGGAGTTTGAAGAGGCAGAACTTCCAAAAAAAGCTGCGTAGTTAACCCCTCTGGTCCACTGGGGAAGTCAATGCTGGCAACCAAATTCATACCTTGCTTTCATATGTTCCTCAATTGATACAATTGATATGATGGTCTGGGAAGAAAAAAGGATGCCTACTACAGCCTCAGATTGTATAACCAGCAGTGGGCCTGGGGGGTAAAAGGGGCAGGTGGGGGAAGGGAGGAACTAGTTTTTGCAGCAGGTATCTGGCGCCTGGTTCAGGGTGAAGTGGTTCTCCCCTCTTCCAATCTCCTGCTCAGTCAATCCTCTGGTTTCCATGGCAATCAATGCTGGCAGGAATTTCTCACTCCTCATTTTTCTGACATTCTCCAAATTCATTTGATAAATTGATATATGGGACACTGGGCCCGTTTTCCAGTAGGTGATGCTCCCCACCAATAGATGGAGCCTCTCCCAACGTGCTAGTGGTGTCTGCTCTTACTAGCACCACTATCACTGGAGGGAGTGTTTCTTCCAAAAAAAAAAAAAGRGGGGGGGGGGGGGGGGAAGGAGGAAAAGGAACATCTGGCCCCGGGGGCCAAGTCCCACATACACCATCGAGCCTGTTCAACGTTGAACTAGCTCAACACGTGTCACCCCACATGATGTTGGAGATGCATCAGGAGCTGCGCATTGCAGTTGTTTTTTAGGTGTCAAAAACTAGCCTTTAACTAGGAAGATTTTCTTCGACAGTGGTCCTGCCGGGCCGGGCACCCGGGCGTGCAAAAAAAAAAAAAAAAAAAAAAAAAAAAACTTTTTTTTATTTTTTTTCCTGCGCTCTCCTAGAGGACCCCAAATCCGGGATCATTTCTCTTTTTGCGAGTTGGCTTTCGAGGGGAAGGGAGGGGGGTATAAATTGGTTTGTGCGGAAGACGCATTCGTTCTTTGCTTGTTTCCACAGTGGTGTGGCGAGGCCCTGTGTATTAGGGCCTCGCCACACCACTGTCGAACCGAATCCCAGAAAATGGCAAAGATGCATCCGTCGCTATTCATAGTAACTGATGCATCTCGCACTCGTACTTTTTCCGTTTCGACAGTGGTGTGGTGTGGCGAGACCCCCGTTAGGGGAGTCTTGCCACACCACTGTCGAAATGCTAAAGAGTAGGAAGAAAAACAAACAAAAAAATCTACAGAGGCCTCTTAGCCAGTGGGCCTCGCCATAGGGCACATGAAACGAAAACGAAACGAACGAGTGCATCTGCCGGCGAAAAGTGGCCAAATACACTCGTTACTATTTATAACAAACCTATGAGCCTGGCCATTTTCTGCC